CTTCAGTGTCATTGAACAAGTAGATAATACCAAGTACATACTTCAGTGTCATTGAACAAGTAGATAATACCAAATACATACTTCAGTGTCATTGAACAAGTAGATAATACCAAGTACATACTTCAGTATCATTGAACAAGTAGATAATACCAAGTACATACTTCAGTATCATTGAACAAGTAGAGAATACCAAGTACATACTTCAGTATCATTGAACAAGTAGATAATACCAAGTACATACTTCAGTGTCATTGAACAAGTAGAGAATACCAAGTACATACTTCAGTGTCATTGAACAAGTAGAGAATACCAAGTACATACTTCAGTATCATTGAACAAGTAGAGAATACCAAGTACATACTTCAGTATCATTGAACAAGTAGATAATACCAAGTACATACTTCAGTGTCATTGAACAAGTAGATAATACCAAATACATACTTCAGTGTCATTGAACAAGTAGAGAATACCAAGTACATACTTCAGTGTCATTGAACAAGTAGAGAATACCAAGTACATACTTCAGTGCAATTTTCAGCAATACTGGGTCATCTTTGCTCTCATCTTCAGCAGCTTCTTGCATCCCCATCTGTGACTTTTGAAAGTCTTCTTGTTGATATCTCAGGTCATTGATATCAGCGACAAGTAATTTACGGGCATCACACTCATCTCTGTATTTATGATATTCAGTGGCTACCTCATCTTGCAACTAAAAAAGCAATCAATAGTAAAAGTTTATTACTGTCGGCAGCAGAGTCACCAGTGGCAAAAACAATTCAATATTGATTCAACCACTCTTGTTCCTCAAGCAGTAATCTTGTATCTTAATTAGAAATAGCAAAGCAGGCCTTAAATACAAAGGCATTTCAAATAAGTTATTATTAAAGAAATCTATGTTGCGGCATATTTGGGAATTGGTCGATCATAGAATGTGCGATATTAAAAATATTATTGCATGACATGTTATACATGGCCTACCTGCTGTATCTGTTCTGTTAGTGACATTTGCTCCTCCTTCATCGTATCTATCTTCTCTATCAATCTTCTATTTTCTTTTTTCAAATCTGCCATTTCTTCCTTTTCCTGATTTCTAAGATCCATTATTTTCTGATCACACTGCTCAGACACTGTCACAAGCATTGACTGGAAGAATGGAATACAATGTGATTTCATTCATATTACAATGCAGTGTGATTTCATTCACACCCAACTACATCAGTGTTTTGTACAACAAAATTAAATACATATCTGTTGCAGGGATTTAACTCCACAGAGGCATCAAAGGAAATTGCCCCAATAAGCAAAGAGTTTGTTTTTGGTGCTCTTTGAAAAATACAGATTTTGCCTGTAACTATTCCTACAGGCAAAGGCAATCTTATCAAATTTGGTATAATTGTAAATGGGTGTCTTTTTAACTCAAATTCAAGCCCTGCTGTTGTATACCTTTTGTTACCTTTTGTTTTTATGCAAGTCAATTATTTCCCTGAGACAAAATTTTATTACAAACACCTTAAAATTATTAAATCACAGAAATTCTTCACCACAATAGAAAGCTTTGCAGTCAATAACATTTTAGTTTTACATACCCTCCCCCATCTAATAATTTGTGGGTGAGGAGACATAATGGAAGCAAGGAGACTAAAACTAGCTTAACAAGTCATTGAAAATGACACAGTCCCCGTAAAATTTTTGAAAGTTCTCTTTGTGCTTGTCATATTAAAGCGGAGGGGTTGTAGCGAGCGTGTCCTTGAAACTTGAGTTCTAAGTGGCGTATACAACAGATTGTTTATTGACATCAAAACACCTTTTCCATGTAGTAGTAATATGGCCAATAATAAAAACAGCTGTTATTCGGCCATCTTTGATCTGATTATGAAACACACTGATATGTATGATATATGTGTATGATGCCAAATACGAATGAAAGTGGTACATAAATTGTGGAAATATAGTAGTAAGGACAAAAAGTCAGATGGCTGTCAATCGACCATCCTTGACCAGATTTTGAAACAAATTGTCATGGAAATGTATCCTAACATGTAGTATCTATGTACCAAGTTTGAATGACAACTGATAAAGCATGTCCAAAATACAACATTTTCAAAAAACAAGATGGCTGCCAGTCGTCCATTTTGAATCGAATCGCTAAACCACTGCATGTGCATATGTCCCACATAAGGTACTAGGCACATGCAAAGAATGAACGGAATCGGTCCACAGGATTCTGAAATATGACTCTGGACAGACTGACGCACGGACGGAGGGACGGACAGACTCAGGAACTCACAGATGGTCGGGGACATGTATCCTAACATGTAAGATCTATGTACTAAATTTGAATGAAAACTGACAAAGCATGTCCAAAATACGACATTTTCAAAAAACAAGATGGCTGCCGGTCGGCCATCTTTGATCCAATTGTGAAATAAATCGTCATGGACATGTATCCTAACATGTATAATCTATGTACCAAGTTTGAATGAAAACTGACAAAGCATGTCCAAAATACAACATTTTCAAAAAAACAAGATGGCTGCCAGTTGGCCATTTTGAATCGAATCGCTGAACCACTGCATGTGCTTATGTCCCACATAAAGTACTAGGCACATGCAAAGAATGAACATAATCGGCCCAAGGGATTCTGAGATATGACTCCGGACAGATGCACGGACGGACGGACAGAGACCGAATTATAAGTCCCCGTTTTCGGACTTCGTCCGAACGGGACTAAAAAATTCATTCACATCCAGCACTGGAGTGCAACATGTATAGTAAGTGAATTCATATATTAAACTTCTATAGACTTAAAAAATGTGCCTCATTTGTTATGTTTTTCATTTTGCATATCTGTGTATTATAACATGTAGTAGACTTTCGTTGGGCAAAACAGAAAAAAGTTGACAAAAATAATAATAATGATTAATGACTAACAATTTTTACATGTTATTGTAGCCCTTGCAACACTCTATCCAAAAATTATGATAACACTAATGTCAACATTAAGTACGTCACATGACTGCTAAATCAGAATCGGTCCAAGGGATTCTGAGAGATGACTCCGGACGGACGCACAGACGCACGGACGGAGACCGAATTATAAGTCCCCGTTTTCGGACTTCGTCCAAACAGGGACTAATTAATCTTTTCAGTTAACCAATTTTTCGTTTTTACTTGGCTATTTTTGTCCCAATCTTCTGAAGGAAATTACAGACTATAAACAGGACTATTTTGTGAATTTGTGATGAAAAGAGGGAACTGGTGGTGAAAAGACTAATAAACGAACACTTACTCTTAGTGGTTCTAGTTCTCGTATTTGTTCTCGTTGATAAGATAACATCATTTCATATTCATTTTTAATAGCAGATAACAATGGTTTGTAAGTTTTAAAATCTTCAATTAAATATTCAAATACTTCTCTGTATGCCTAAAATAACAAAGACAATGTACATGTTTAGGATTAGAAAGAACATGACATGCAAATGTGCAATTCTCTCTGAAGTAATGCATTACATAGTCTCAGTGAGTAGAAAATACATAAAGCATTCATTAACAAAATGGCCACCAGTCAGCCATTTTGAAACCAATCCGAAAAACAATCATCTTATAACGTTAATTGTATATATCAAATTTGACCAAAGTTCATCCATACATGACTGAGATCCAGTTCCAGATTGACAGAAATGTTTGATTTTGATGATTTTTAGATTTAAATCATAAATCAAAATGGCTTGGCATATGTATTCTAAGATGCATGATGTATGTGTGAATACAATCATGTCCAAAAATGTATGCACAAGACTAAAATATTCAATTTATGTCTAAAAGTTCCAGGTATTAACTGATGAACTGTGGGCAAAATAAACAATCGTTAAATGTACATTTATTTTTTCTATTTTTATAATTGTTCGTATTTTCTCATACAATAAATTTCAAAGAAAACTGCAGACAACTCACATTTAATATATGCATATCTGACTGGACCCAAATAAATTATTGTACTTAGTACCAACATATCAATATGGGAAAAGCCATGCCTAGCTCATACAAGTAATTACCTGTAGTCTCATTTCACTTGGTCCTACTTCACTACTTTCCAGTGCCCTCAATTCCTTCTTAAGGAATGCATCCAATTGTTGTAAAAACTGTGGTTTAGGAATCATACTTTGTTGCGCTTCCTGAGAACGTGGTCTACGTGAAGGATTCATCATAGAATTGACTGCACTGCCAGCAGATTGGTTTGATGCATGTGCTGGCCATGTGTCCATAGCACCAGACACAGTATCTACATAGGGCTGAAATAAAAATATAATATGTCATAAAAAAGAATTTTAATTGAGAATCTCTGTGCAGTTAGAGTTATTTAATGGACTGTTTTGGGGCCGAGGTCTGATAAGAATCTTATGTGCAGCGCAAAAAATGCTTACCAGACCATTAATTAATCATGAGAAGTCAAGAGTATTCTATGAAGTTATACCATGAACTTGGCAAACTGCATATTGCATCCTTTCACATATCTTGTAGCTCTGCAAATCGTTGGTTCTAATCCAGGGTGCTGACTCTTAAAAAATGCCCAATTTTTATATGTGAGGGAAAATTGTATTCTCCACTTGGATCATATGAGAAGAAATGTGTTTTGCGAAACAGTTCATTTAAATGCAACAAAGAATCAGTCCTTTTCTAGTGAGAGTACACTCCTAGGAAATGAGGACATCACAATGAAAACTATGCTCTAGAAAAATAAGCATCACATTTAGAACAGCTAGGATACAAGGCAAAGAGTGATATAACTTGGGTTATAGGTTTCAGTTAGTGTAGTGTTAACAAGTAATTTTCATTAATCAATACATGCAGTATTTGTATCTTGTTGTCTATACATCAGTGTAAACACTGAAACAGAAATAGGTCAGGAAAGCAAAACATAAGAGAATTCACCTTGAGAACATGTGGTTCAGGTAGATTATATCTGTGTTGTTCTGATGAAATCTGAAACTGAGGTCCTGTGAGTCCCTGGTATTTTTGAAATATGCGTGGTGAAATACCCATACCTTGCTTGTTTGGAGGACTGAAAGGAAAAAAACACGAAAACTTGTTGTGATTGATCACTTACTTCTTAATTTTGTATATCATATTTGCCCTATTAGCAG